TCCAGGCAGGGGTTGCAGATTTGCAACAACTTAAACAGTCTTTTCAAGTAATTTGAGCCTGAGAGGGTTAAAGTCTCACTGTTTTTTGGAAATTTACTGATCTCTCCAAATCATTTTTGGAGAGAACTGTTTTCTATAACTCTAAATAACCTAATGGCATGAACACATTTAGACCATTTAATGCAATCACAGCATCTAGAAGAAAGGATTTCAGGTCTTCACATTTATCTTTGTCACTAACCCTAACCCCATATTCACTGCACTGTGTGTGCTGAAATAGCGGAGTAAAATTTGTTTCAGTACTGGAACCCATTTAAAGGGACCAACATGGGTTACTCCATGTGCCCATGTTTGGTCACTGATCACACAAAATGATTCCTTTATGTTAGTTTTATGGTGAACATTCTGAACTGACCAACACATATGGCAACATGTGTGGATTAAGTGGTCCTACGCAAGGGCAGTTTACAGGAGGAAATTATTTGTGCAAGTTATTGTTTGATAATCAAACCAACTAATGGCTGAGAAGGTAAAACAACCAGCCAGTGTAAGACGGGATTAAAAGGACTACTGCTTTCATTGGTGGATGAAAGTTCACATTTCTGGAAAGTGTGCAGGAAGACATCCATCGTCACATTCACACCAATCACAGCAGGAAATGGGTGTGAAGGTCAGTATTAGTTTTTTGTTTGTTTGTTGTTGTTTTTTTTTTTTAAATAAACCCAACAGGAACAATTTAAAGCTTCAAAATAGTTTTCACTTGGCTACTTGTTGCGTGTGAAAGAGCATTTCACTCACATGCAGCATTTCACCCCTTCTGTTGAGGGGTGCCATTCTACAGAAAGCCAATTTAATTTAGAATTTGGTGACAGTTGATCTATTATTCAGTTTTGAACAGAAATATCTTATCAGATTATGTTTTCACATAGTTATTCAAAAAACAACTACTTTAAGTGTTAAAACACATAAAAACAGATACAAATTGATTTTAATGATATATGAACGTCTATGTGTTTTTATCAACAGGTTAGAAGCCCAGAGGGTAAAATGGAGCTGGCACAAACCTTACTCTGTCCTTTGGGATGTAAGTCCGCGGTTACACAGAGACACCTCTCTCTTGAGTGTGTGTGCGTGCACATGCGTGTGTTTCAGTGTGTGGGCTAATTACACAGTTTAGCTGGGATTTGGAAGGGTATCAGATTTACTGAAGACTATATAGTTTTTGGTGTGACCATAAAAATATACCAAATAATTCTCAACAAGATCTATTGACAACAAACTCATCATAAATTGCTACATATGTAATCCCACACAGAAAATACATCTCAGATGTTACAACTGTTACAATTCTGAACATGGAAACATTGTGGTTTCCATGTTCCATGTATGATGGATTATTAGCTGTGTTGGTACTCTCACTGACTGAAGAAACTTCTAAGCAGGAGGCTACACACCCAGAACTAATGGCCTGATTCTGACATGATTTGGTAAACATGCATTCCAGTTCACAGATTTAAACTGACACCAGCACCAGAGGTTTAACCAGGGCTGCCTGACAGATCTTGATGGGGGTTAGAAGAATCCAGTCTGCAGCTGCATTTTAGCTTTGCAACATGTTGTGCTACGTCACAGCAGATTAGGTGAACTTTTTACAGCAAACTGAGAGAAGATGTGAACACTGCACATTTTACTCCAAAGGAAAACATGAAGAAATATTTATTATATTTGTTCTTCCTTTGAGGGAGTATGAGGAACAAAGAACATTAGGCTGCAGAAGAAACAGCACTGCCAGACAATTTTCATTTCAAACTCAATCATTTGCTGTGTAAAAATGCTTGAAGATTTAGTTTTTCCTGTGAATCCCTGGATGAATATTTATCTGTATAAACATTGTTCTCTGGAAACAACATTGTGTCTGATAATACATCAGAGCTTGATGCCTCAGAATGGGCTTAGACAACATTTCTAAGCCCGAGTTATTGGCTAGGAATTACCCAAAAAGGCAAGGCATGAGTGCCTGAACCTTCTTAACCCTCCTGTTGTCTTCGGGTCATTTTGACCCGAAGACAACAGGAGGGTTAAAGACAGGTGAAGCCACACCCTATGAAATACCAAATATGGAAAGAATCTACAAATGAAAAATATTGCGTTTAAACTTAGAATCATGTGTTGGGGAATCCCAAATATAATGCAGTATATGTGTTGTCTGAAAATCTATAAAAGTGGCTGTGTTTTAAAATAAACTGGGACTCTTCATCATTTTGTTTGAAATTCCTCCAGATTGGTTCACATATTTATTATTTTGGACATAGCTCTGGTTTGTTCCACAAAGATTGTGTCACCTGTCAGATCCTGGAGCATTTTTACAGCAGCAGTTTGAAAGCGACTAAACAAATTACTGTTACATGGAGCCTACACACTGCTTTGTAGTTTTTTTGGTTTTGCCTTAGAGTCAGCATTGTTGCTAGAGCATAATGTCGTCAACATGTTGTTAAAACCACACATGGACATGTCCTCTTCTCACTAAGATGACATCACGTTGTGATTTTATCTGTGAAAAATGCTGTATAAATAAAATTATACTTAAGCATGATACCTAATCCACTATGCTTCACAGTGTATTGTGGGATTCGTAGTTATATGATGAACTGAGTGCAACCCTCAGACTCTCACCTTCATCAGTCCACCTCATGCTTCATCAATTCTCTTCAGGTCAATCAGTGTGTTCTTTGGCTTTTTCACAATGTCTTTTCTTTAAACAGACTTTGCAGAGTGGAACTGGTTTATACCTTGGCTTCTCATAGGCATCTTCTACTGTTATTCACAGGTATCTCTAAGCCTGCCTCAGTCACCCGGTGGATGATCATTGACTGACTTTATTTCCATCTTCAATCCACAAGATTGATAATTGTCTATTTTCTTTCACATCTTTCTGTTGTGTTTTTACATTTAAAAGATTTTCAACTGAATTTTCTGCCCTTCTTTTTATGTTTTCCTTTCCAATCAAATCTCACATGAAAGTACTCTATTTTTATTTACTTACTGTTTTGACAGTCAGATGATCCCCTACCTAGATTTACATGTCCTTTACTTAGACCCTCTGGTGCATTGCTAAAAGAACCCTTTATGTACCAATCACTGGTCTGCATGTCCAATCAGTCTAATCCTTCAGGCATTGTGCTTAACTGTTTTGTCATTTAATGTTTTTATTTGGATTGTATTAAAAATATTCACTAAATAAACAGAACATTGATGTGTTTTAATCCTAATTTATTGGCTGACTTTAGTTAATGAGATTTCTCTCCGTAATATAAAACTTAGTATATTACAAAAAATCATTCATAGTGCAGTAACATTTCACTATCTCACCAAAGACTTGTGTTTGGCAGCACACCACTAAAACTATCACAAAGACAAATTTTCTGTTATTTTTTTTTGTATCACTACATATATTTCTAAAAGAAGACTGTTGCAGTCTTAGATATGGACTAAATTCACAGGTGACAATTTGGACAGATCGTGTCTGCGATAAAGTTAGCATGTGGTTGCATTCCAATGAGAAAATCCAATAACCCACCAAGAAGTCTGAATGGTTCTATTTTTGTAAAAATAATTAGGAATATCATCTGATTTAAATGACAATGGGTTTACTGGTTCAACTGTGGCTAGATGTATTAAACACAGAGTAAACTCTAATACCACTGGGATGCTACATCAGTTGAACAGTGCTGTAAACTGGATTTGCCTCTGGACAGATTTCTTATGGTTTGGCTTTCTAGGCACACTTAACTATTCAATCAAAAGACTTTTGATAACAGTTAAAGAATTCACTTCAATACAAACCTGTCTGACAAAATGAAGTAGGCTAAAATATTTCAAAAAGAAAGACATTGCCCTGATTGCACTGATTTAAAAAAAAAAATTAAGAACAAGTGACAAACACAGTCATTGACATCAATCAATCTGTAAAAGATTACAAAGCCATTTTAAGGCTCCAGGACATCAGAAAACTACAGTGAGAACCATTATCTACAAATGAAGAAGACATAGATCAGTGAAGGAACTTCTCAGAAGTAGCTGGTCAACCAAAAATTACCCCAAGAGATCAGGAACGACTCATCCAGGAGGTCACAAAAAAAACTGAAAATCATTTGAACTCTGCCAGCTCACAGTTTCAAGTAAGGCTCATGATTTAACAACAAAAATAAAAGAAGGGGCAAAAATGACTTTCCAATCTTAAACCAGTTTCGAGGACATACGTAGAATATGTCTAGATTTCAGTCCAACAGAGATGCTGTGGAATGACCTTAGAAATCTGTAAAGAGGCAACAATTCAAAGCACTGTGATTGCTTAGCATAAAAGCTTCATCCTCCCTCCAATCAACACAAACCTAGTAATGACAAACAGAACTGCAACAATCAAAACTGCATAAATTCCAACTACATATTTTTAAATATAAAACACCTTTTATTTCTGGCAGGAATTAGCTTTGTTGGAATTTAGTAATCTATATTATTACGCTAAGTTGTTATTTTCAAAAGAAGCATGGAAAGAAAACGTGTCTATTTAAGAGACAGGCCTGCTTAGTCAAAGGTGAGGAGAGAGATAAGAAATATTCTGTCCCATTTGTTGTAAATTAGGCACAGTATAAATTGAATGTGCTCTGCTTCCATGCCATGGTTTCAGAGACACTGAGACTTTTCAGCTGTTTGACACAGAAAAATAGGGGCTTTGATTAAAGGTATATGTCATATCTTGTCTTAAAAAAAATATATATATATATATCTATATATATATATATATATATATAGATATATATATATCTATATCTATATCTATATATATATATAGATATAGATATAGATATATATAGATCTATATCTATATATATATATATATATAGATATATATCTATATATATCTATATCTATATCTATATATATATATATATATATATATATATTACCGTGGTAATATTTCAACCTGAGATTACATTTTTCAAAATGTAATGGATGTTGTTTCATTACTTGCCTGATTTCACTTTGAACATAAAAACTCAGCCTGGTAAAGACAAGTACAAACCCTTATGATGCTCACAGAGACTGAAGTTTGAAGTAGTAAACACTATAAATGTGGGTCCTGATGCGTAAAGCATTTCATTGAGTCTGCAATGAAGAGCCATAGTCAGACAACAGTGCTGATGTCGTCAGCATCATCAGGTTTCTTGGGCTTACTGGGGAGAGACTTGAGGTACTCCAGGTGGCGCCGGGCGTCCTCCTGGTTCTGACGAACATAATACACCACATATGATATAACCATTGCAAACCAACCAAACATAGTGACCAGCATGGCATAGTCTGTGGTCCTTTTTGCCAGGTTACACAGGTCAGTGTCAACTGCCAGGAAAGGTCGACCCTCCTGATCGAGAAGCTCGGAGCTCCTGCAGAGGACCCTGGCTGCAGCCTCGTGGTTGTGAGCCATTCCTCCAATGGCCTGCTGGAGGGCGCAGTCGCAGTGCCAGGGATTGTCATCTACAATGATGCGGGCCTTCAGTCGGGCAAAAGCATCCCTATGTACGCTTGTGATGCGGTTGTGAGAAAGGTCCAGCACCTGTAATGTTCCCTCGATGCCACTAAAGGAACCTTCCCCTAAAGTTTCCACTGCATTATAAGAGAGGTTCAGCTCCCTCAAAAGCCGGAGTCCACGGAAGGCTTGGTCGGGCACAGCACCTATTTGATTGTGGTCCAGCCTCAGGAGAACTGTGTCGACTGGGAGGTTGGGGGGAATCTCTTTGAGGCGGGACTGACTGCAGGTGACGTTGAGACCGTGGAGGTGGGCGTCGCGTAGACAGCTGCAGCCCTTTGGACACATGCTGGCCGAGGGGAAGCACAGGGCCATGAGGACAAGGCTCTGGAGGAGCAGGCACATGGGGATGGAGCGCGACAGCCACAAGTCCAGCAGAGTCATACTGACCGGCTTTCAGCAGCATGCCGCCTGGGGCCACAACACCACCACTGGTCCTTTACACACATGGCATAGTAGCTGCTGGACCTCCACTCGCTACAGATATTGGTGGATGAACTGGTCTCATCATGTTGTATTGGGATCTGGAATGACATGAACAGACAATCAGTTGAGACATTTTATCCACAGTTATTCCTTTTACTGGTTCTGACTGAATGCAGAGCAGGAGCAATGTTTCTCAGTGTTGTGTCTTGTCTGCCTTTGGGTAGTTTTGGCTTTTTGGATATGAACTGCTTTCGTATTAATTAATTGTACTGAATATTAATAGTCTAAAATTAAACTGATATTGAATCCTGTTCAAGAGAATCTTCCTATAGATAAAATTTGAGCTTAAATTAGCTTTATTGAACTTGAGATTTTTGCCAGTAAAATACCCTTTAATTAATGACTTCATTATTGAGCATATTCTTTATATATTTGTAACAGAAACATGGTTGGATAAAATAGTGAGACAGCTGTTAAGCCACAATAGCTTTGGTTTAGTTATACATAGCTATTAACACAAACATGGCGGCACAATGATTCCTGAAAACATTGGACTTTTAAGGCATAAAAAGGCCTTTATTCTGGCTCATACAAAAGAACACCTCCAGCATAATAGAGGCAGGATACAATGCTAATTTTATCTTAGACGTATGTGTACCCTGCATATTACCGAGAGTGGACACTGAAATTCTGAAAACTCTGAACAGCCTCAGACTATTATGCCAGTAAGACCCAGAGGCCATTGAATCAGTGAAAGCCCCCAGAAGCCTGGAGGAGACAGTGGCTCTGAAACAGGTAGGTAGCTGCTGGTGAAGGATCAGATCATCTCAAAACTTCCCTTCCAGAGACCCCAGATTATGAGGGTTGGTAAGAATGCTTCAAGAGTCATTTCCCTCAGAATATCCCCCCTCCAACCCTTTGGGGCTGTGTACTGAGCCCACTGCTTTTGACCTTGATGACCCATGACTGCCAGGTTCAGTTCGAATCACATAATGTAGTATGCAGACGATACCACAGAGAGGAGGTGAAACATCCTGAATGTCAAAAAAACAAAAGAAGTTGTTGTTGATTTCAGAAAAAGTCAGCCAAGTCACCCTGTACCCCCCTCCTCATCAATGATGCTGCAGTGGAGCAGATCAGAAGTATTAAATTTCTGAAAACATGCACGACAGAATCAAGACAACAGTCCAGGTCTGTTTTTCATGAGGGAAAACCATTGTAGCCATTGTATATACCCTTTTTTGTTTGATTTCATCAGGGGGATAATATGATTTGACTCATAGTGTAAGAGGAACACCATCATTATTTCTAAATATGATGGAATGAATTGCATTTCTGTTATATACAGTGTATTGAATTACTAATATAGTGTCTGATAACATATTATATCTTAAAACCTCAGGATTATTTCTAAGACAGAGCTTTGAGCTGAGTGACCAGAAAAGACAAGTATGAATGCATAAAGATAGTTGAAGCCACAAGCTGCTGCATGAAAAGTGTTTGCCTGCAGATAAAACAGTGCTATAGATAGCTGCAGTTGTATATTTGGAGGTAAACAAGCCAAAATAGGGGATCTGAGTGTGCATTGTTTGTACTTCAACAGGGAGATGCTGAGTACTTATTGTAGAGAGTTAGAAATGTATTTTATAATTCGGCTTTTGGGACAGGTGCACAGATCTCCTTGCCTTGTTTGAAATAAATGCTCCTGTATTTGTGTAAGACTGTGTAAAAAGAGTCTTCTCTAGAACATTCTCACATAGGCACAAAGACAAGATTTATGCAGTCTACAGTTGGATCAGTTTAAATGTATTCAACTTATCTTTGAGCATTTTCTCTTTTGACAGAGCAAAAAGCTGCACAGTTTTCATCTTCCAGAAGTTGCTGATATTGGATGCAGATAATTGGACAAAGAAAAGAACGATAACAAACAAGTAACTGGTATGTCATGTTTTATTTGTTCCCACTCAACATCAATATGCATAAAACATAGCAATATTTTATGCATTAAAAACACAGTTTTTCCCCTCCAGGGGGCTTTTTGCAGGCTCTAGTGTCTCTGATATAACAGTAGGCTGACAGGAAGGGGGGAAGACATGTGGCAAAAATCGTCGGGTCAGGGAGTCACATCGAGGACTGAAGGCCTCCAAATGAGGGTCGCGCTATCACCTACGCCATCACAGCATGCCCAACACTGGTTGTTTTAGAAATATAATTTCTGAATATTTGATTTTCAGAAATTGCTAAAACAAATATACTCATAGTAGGTTGCCACAGCCACCCTGTGGTAATCTGAGAAACATGCTGTCTGCAAAGTGACTCATAATCTTGCAGTGAATCTCAACAAAGTAAGCAGGTATGATTTTACATTCAGCGAAGAGCAGAGGTGGCCTTCACACTTCCAAACTGCAAACGGTCAGCTGACCACCTTCAGGAATTCACATGCAGTTTTCACCATAGATCTCCATGGTTCATGGAAGTGGACAGGGAAGACCCCTACAACCACTGAAGACAGTGATGTTTTCTGTATGAAACATTGACAGATTCCAGACAGGAGAAGCAGTAGTGAGAATCAACCTCCTTCATAGAGGTAACTATCAGTGTTTAAATTAGAATACTTACTGACACTAATAAATTTCATAATCTGCATGTAATCATGAATGAAGAAAAGAGAAAAAAGACAATCGTAATATTTAAAAGAGAGGCAGGTTTGTTTTTGTCTTTAAGGTTTATTCATTAAGCTGAAAATATAAACAGCCTTTATACTTGATAGAAAATTCCCTCCCTCTGTCGGCTCCATATGGCAGAAATGTGGCAGGTTGTGAAAACCTGAACACTGAGCTCTTGTTGTAGTTATCTGCTGGCTGAGGAGCAACACTGATGTCCAACAATAGACAATCAGGAAAAATAAATAAAACAAAGGGTGGTCTGTTTACTGTAGAGATGTTCCAGACTTACATCAAGCTGTTCGTCCAGTTGCTGCACTGCTATGAGGAAAAAAAGCTGCTCTACAGAGAGACTGTCTAAAACCCACATGGTGCATACAGACCATTCACTATTATAGCACAACATTCAGTGACCACAAAAATCCTTTTGAGTGATCTCAACTTGATATTAATTAGGACAAGTCATAACCCCAGATAGGAAGAACAACAGTTTTGACCCACAACTGCTGCAGATTCACCTCTTTCTATCATCTAGTTATCATGTGACCCAGCGATGTTTCAACAGTGCATCAGTTTACAGAGTTTCCACGAGGATGATGGTAGCCTGGCTATTGCTTCCCTGCGCAATTCTGTTCCATTCAAATTTCACTTTATAGACAGTCTGGGCTTTCTCCCATTTACTTGGATTCCCTTTGGTAGAATTTCTACCGGGCCAATCAGTGAACAGAAGGCAAAGTTGTGAACAATGATGTTGATTTTCTACTCTGTTTTAGAATAGTAGTCTGCCTGCAGTTTCAGCAATGGCAGGGGAGGAAGTGAAGGAAGCCATTCAGTTCCGCTTCCAAATATTAAAGCAACATTAACAGACACTTCTTTCAGATCAGCACTTCTCTATTCACAGTGGAGGATGGTTGTTTACAACTACAAAATTTCTGCTAAGCTACATAGCACTGAACTAGTGAATTACACATCCAGGCAAGGGTTAGTGATTCAGTAAATTGTAAAACTTCAACAGAGTCCACACCACCAGAAACCAATTGTTTCTCATTAGCTGAGGGTCCAGACCCTCAGGATGAAGCACAGCATAAAACAAGGGGCCAGTTTTTACCACGTTGGATGATGTTGACAACCCTCTCCTTTATTCTTTTATGGGGTTAGACTTGTTCTGACCACACTAAGCATGTGGATTCAGTCTCAGAAAGTGTCAGGAACTGTCCAGGTGACCACGGTGTTTAGCTTTAGAAGGAAGATACATCCACATGTTCCCTCATGTCATAATCTCTCATCGTTGATCTGCCATGAGCTCTGCTGCAGTAAGTACCGTCCTTGTCCTCACTCTACCCTCCCAGCTGAATCTCTGGTCTTTTTGTAACACTGACCCTTTTTCTGCCAGATGAGTGGGTCTGATGTCCTGTCAGACATGTTGCCTGGCAGGTAGAACCAAAGACAATAAAACTGACAGTGGGTTCATTAACAGTGGGTAGAAAGAGGTAAGCAGTCTGAGCTAGCAACACCCAGAGCACTAAGTATGGAAGCAAGGGTTGCAAAAAGACCAGAGATCCAGACTGCAGCAGAGACAATGGCAGGCTGACGATCAGAAGCTCACAGAGATTATGACATGAACGTGAAGAAAGGATATGAGCAGAGAGGAGGATCTTTCTTCTAAGGGCAATCCCTGTAGTCACCCAGCACTGTCAGAGATTGAACTCACATGCATCGTGTGGTTGACATTAGTGGGAATACTAATGAAGTAGATAGCACCATTCTATACCTGTAGTAAGTCTGCAAAACTACAAAGGTAAGAACCGGAAAACAGGTAAAATGACAACAAATACTGCAAAAGCTGCAGCAGCAGTGTTTAGTTGTCAAATAGTTTATGTGAGAACAGCTTGGATTCAAAGACATCAAAAACACATAACGAGCATGGTCAGTGAAGGTCATTACCTAGTATAATTAATTTGCACTTCTTTTAAGCATAATTTTTAAATGATAAAATATGAAATATTTAAATATATATTTATATTTATAATATTCTAAAGGGAAGAGTCAATGACAAGCTATGAGAAAAATATCAATGTACCAAGGAGAATTATGGATCTGTCCAACGACAGTAAATTGACTAATTTTCAAAACTAAATGAATAATTGGAATGGAGGAAAAAAGAGCATAAATTTGACTTTAGTGTCATTCTTATAAAGGACAGAGAAAATCCAGATGTTAACTGATTTTTTTTTAAAGCCCGTCTGATAAAATATTACATAAATCCAAGAAATTATAGGGTATGATGAAAATAATCCCTTCATAT